CTGTCCTGATTGGGTGTTTTTTGCTTCCTTATGCTCCAAATTGATGGTTTGCTTCTTGGCTTTACCTACTCTACTATTGAGTCCGTGTAAATAATTCTTTATTTCAGTTAGTGCCTCCTTCATTTCTGACTGTGCATCCATCATTTCTAACTGGCCCTTTTTTATGCTCTTGAGCCCTCATTAAGTTCACTGAGGTTCTTACTAAGTTCACTGAGCATCCTTATAAGCAGTGTTTTGAACTCAGCATCTGTTAGGTTGCTTATCTCCATTTCGCTTAATTCTTTTCCTAGAGTTTTGTTCTGTTCTTTCATTTGGGACCTGTTTCTTTGTCTCCTCATTTTGGCTGCCTCCCTGTGTTTGTTTCAGTGTATTACTTAACGAGAGGTATGGGGCTAGCTGAGATCAGATGCTGCTTGTTTGAAAGAATTTAGGAAAACCTGAAGCAGGATCCAAGACAGGCCAATCCTATGGTAAAGCAACTGGCAACAGCTTGGGTGGGCCTGAAAGTTGGGCGGGGCGGGCCTCAGGGAGTCACCAGGGCGGGGCTACCAGTGTGAGCCAGGTTGCTGGAGTCCCAGATATGGTGGCTGTGTGCCGCCCCAGGGAAGGGTTCACCAAAGGAATAAAGGCTTCTGACAGCATGTCTGTCCAGGAGAAAGCCCTGCTCCAGCCCTCGCTCCAGTGCCAAACAGCTCAGTTCTTCCCTGTATGTCTCTGGCGCCCCTTAAGCTGCTTCCCCTCTGAGCTTAGAGAGAGCAAGTCTGATAAGTTCATGCGCAGGCCCTTTAAGAGGAGCTGCCTGATGCTTCAGACGCCTCAGCCTCCCTGAGCCTCAGTTCCCGCTGGTTTTCCAGCCAGAGGTTATGGGGATTCTCTTCCTGGCACTGGAACCCAGAGCAGGGCGTCTGGTGTGGGACAGGGACCCCTCAGTCTTTAGGAAGGACCTTCCCAGCCGAGGTATCCTCCTGATTTTTATCCGCTATACGTGGGTGTGGGACCAGCCCCTCTGCCTCCGCCCTCCTACCAGTCTGGATGTGGCTGCTGCTTTAATTCCCTAGTTGTAGGACTTCATTCAGCTTTCAGGTGGCTTTGAATGATAGTTGTTCTGTAGTTTAGTTGTAACTTCAATGTGCCAGAAATGATTTCTTAGATTCTTTTTTGATGCTTCCTTAAAGACTCAGAGTGCCTGTGACATTATATCTATTCTAAGTCTCATATATGAAAGAACTGTTATATTTTTTATTCAAAAATCCACATTTGTTAATAATATTAATTCTTATTTTTATTATTTAAATTTTTATTTTTTGTTATTAAATGTGTCTAGCACTGGTAGGCATGCATATGTTTGATATTCAGGAAATACTATACCAGTGACTCAACAGAAAAATTATTAGAAGTAATAAAAGTGTTTATCAAGTTACTGAATAGAAGAATAAGATCAATATTAGAAATCAATTGGATTTTTACAAACCAGCGACAATTAGGACAAAATAGCAATAAAATGTTATTTATAAATAAATTTAATAAAAGTGCAAGACTCAGTTCTCTCCAAATTGATTTATAGATTCAAAGCAATTCCAATCAAAATCCAGCAGATTTTTTTTTCATGAAACTTGGAAAACTGATTCTAAAATTTACTTGAAGAGCAAAAGTTCAAGAATGCACAGAATATTCTTGAATAAAGAAATAAGATGTGAAACTTGCCCTATTAGTTACTGAAGTTTTTTTTTAATGTTACTGTTCTTTTATTTATTTTTTATTTTATTTTTAAAATATGTTTTCATTGATTTTTTTAGAGAGAGAAGAAGGGAGAGATAGAAAAGTCATGTGAGAAACATCAATTGGCTGCCTCCTCCACGCCCCCTACTGGGGATGGAGCCTGCCACCTAGGCATGTGCCTTGAGGGGGAATCAAACCTGGACCTCTCAGTTCATGGGACAACGCTCAATCCACTGAGCCACACTGGCTGGGCTACCAAAGTTTTTAATAAAGCTGGAATGATGAAAACTGGTTTTGTCACAGGGATAGGCAAACTGATCAATGGAACAGTCTAGAGAAGCAGACTCAAAAAGCATCTGAAAACTTGATGTATGACATATGTTGGAGAGAAAGCATGCACTGTTCAATCAACTGGTTTCCACATGAGAAAAAAAAAGAAAAATTGAATCCTTCCTCACACCATGCACAAAAATCAATTCTAGATGAACAAAGATTTAAAAATGAAAAATAAAACCTTTATATTTTCATGACTTCAGGGTAAAGATACATATCTTTGAAAAGAAACAGAAGTCATAAAGGTCAATGTCCAGCACGCATAAAGACCTAAAAATCAATGAGACACATGCTACCCAATTGAAAAATGAGCAAAAACCAAAATAGATATTGTAGTGAAAAGGAAATGCAAATGTCTGATAAGCATAACAAGATCGTAAACTGATGAGTGATTAGAGAAATATCAAAGAAGGCCCCAAAGATGGTTTACACCTACTAGAATGGCAAAATCAAGAAATCTGACTATACCAGGTGATGATGAGTATATTAAACAATGGGGATTTCCTATGCTGGTGGGAGTATAAATTGGAAACCAGTTTGGCATTACTGAATATCATGTAACCTGTGACCTAGCAACTTGACACCTAGACACTCTGTAAAACTTCAGTGTATGTGCATGAGATGAGGACATTCATAGTAGCACTGTTTATACAGGCTGCGATCTTAAAATAACCCGCCTGTTCCCAGACAGGAGCATCAGTGAGTACATTTTGGAACAGCACAGTGGAATTTCATACAGCAGTGAAAATGAAAGAACCACAGCTACCCGTAATAATATAGGTTTTCTGTAATATAATGTTATGCAAAAAAAGTGGGTGGCAGAATACTACTGAGAATATGGCACAACTTTCTGTACTGCCCAAACACAAACAAAACTGAGCAGGGTTGTTTAAGGACACGGACACGTGGTAACAAGACTTAGAAAATGGGAGGGGCGAATATTTACACAACATCCAGGATCATTTAGAAACTCTCTAAATGGAAATGGGGGGATGTGATGAAAAGGACTTCCAGAGGAGATTCAGTGGATTCTGGTAAAATTTTATTTCACAAATTAAGTAGTGTGTTCATCACATTTCATAATGTACATATGCTTCTGTAACATACAAATATTTTTAAATTTAAATTTTTTTAAAAAAGGAAAGAACCTGGAAAGCAACAGTTCTCAAGCATATTAGCCCCAGGCCGCCGCCGGCAAGGTGCTCGGCGTCAGCAGCCTCCTGATTCTAAACGTCACCCATGGGGGCGGAGCCCTGCCGCCCACTGCACGCATGCGCACCGCGACCGGCCAATCAGCGACGCGCCTGAGCGAGGCGAGACTGGCTTTTCTCCCGCGCGAATTCGGAGTCGCTCAGAGGAGCGTCGGGGCAGCGAAGCAAGTGCTTCCGTGGAGGAGCAGGGGTGGGGCGGCCGGAGTGCCGGGGACATCTGCCGGAGACCTGAATTGTGGGCCTCAGCCACTGGGCTTTTTGCAGGTGTGAGAAGGGAGGGAGTTTGCACAGGGCGGGAGTTGAGTCGAGGTTACTCTTGGTCTCAGGTAAATTTTTCTCTTTGGCTTCACCTGGGGCCTCTGACTGGAAAATGAGAGCAGGGCCTTGAGCGGGCAAGAGGGCATCCGGTGCTGAGGGACGGACGGCGAGACCCCGGCCGACTGATGGACCGAGACCGAGGGGCCAGCGAGCCAACCGGGCCGAGGGGGCGCCTGGCCGAAGGGCGTAGGGCGCAGGGAGGACCGGACGGTGTGGGCCAGGGGCCGAAGGGCGTAGGGAGGACTGGACGGCGTGGGCCGGGGGCCGAAGGGCGTAGGGAGGACCGGACGGCGTGGTGGGGGAGCCCGAAGGGCGTAGGGAGGACCGGACAGCGGGGGCCGAAGGGCGTAGGGAGGACTGGACGGCGTGGGCCGGGGGCCGAAGGGCGTAGGGAGGACCGGACGGCGTGGTGGGGGAGCCCGAAGGGCGTAGGGAGGATCGGACAGCGGGGGCCGAAGGGCGTAGAGAGCACCGGACGGCGTGGGGGAGCCCGAAGGGCGTAAGGAGGACCGGACGGCGTGGTGGGGGCGAAGGGCGTAGAGGGCACCGGACGGCGTGGTGGGGGAGCCCGAAGGGCGTAGGGAGGACCGGATGGCGTGGGGGGGGGGCGAAGGGCGTAGGGAGCACCGGACGGCGTGGTGGGGGGGGGCGAAGGGCGTAGGGAGCACCGGACGGCGTGGGGGGGCGAAGGGCGTAGGGAGGACCGGACGGCGTGGGGGGGGGGCGAAGGGCGTAGGGAGCACCGGACGGCGTGGTGGGGGAGCCCGAAGGGCGTAGGGAGGACCGGACGGCGTGGTGGAGGGGGCGAAGGGCGTAGGGAGGACCGGACGGCGTGGGGGCGCGAAGGGCGTAGGGAGGACCGGACAGCGGGGGGCGAAGGGCGTAGGGAGGACCGGACGGCGTGGTGGGGGGGGCGAAGGGCGTAGGGAGGACCGGACGGCGTGGGGGGGGGGGCGAAGGGCGTAGGGAGGACCGGACGGCGTGGTGGAGGGGGCGAAGGGCGTAGAGAGCACCGGACGGCGTGGACCGGGGGCCGAAGGGCGCAGGGAGGACCGGACGGCGTGGACCGGGGGCCAAGTGAGCCGGGCAGCGGAGGAACGTCCGGGGCAGGAAGTAGGGTGAGGCGCGTCTGACAGATCCGCGCTGGGTGGATCCCGTGACTCAAACGCGGGACGAGGTTTGCCCACGAGGCCGGGCCTGGCAGAGGCCGACCTGGATGTGCTCTCGGCCCTGGGGTGACCGCTCCACAGCGCTCGCGCGGGCAGGGTCTCTCCCAGTGCGCAATGGGGCTCCGGTTACCCAGCTAAGAATCTGTATTGGCTCTTTCTCAGTCTGAAATGTACCAGTGTTCGTAAATGGTAGCTTTGGATTCAGAAGGTTTGAGATATTTATGTTTTAAATGTCAGAAAACGTCCAGATATGGTGCCCTCTGGAAGAAAACACCCCGAGAAAGGCGGGAAGACGCCGGGGGAGGACCAGGCTGGGAGAGCCTATGACTTTGAGAAGGAGGATAAAATCGACCTGGCTTGTGCAGAGGAGGACGTTACCGAAGGTGCGGTGTGTCTCACGTTGTTGTGAGGGACCATGTCCAGAGTCCGTTTGTGTTGAACCTTCTGTGTCTTAAACAATAATAAAACTTTGTCAAGCATTTTAATGTACTTCATGTTTCTCATTTCGAGTTAGAGTAGCTTAAATAGTGAGTCTTGCCTTTGCAGTCATTTCCAAAATGTCTAATAAATAGTACATGGCTGGCCCTGGCCGGTTTAGCTCAGCGGTTAGAGCATCGGCCTGCGGTCCTGAGAGACCTGGGTTCGGTTCCCGCTAAGGGCGCGTACCTCGGTTGCAGTTTGTCCCCGGCCCTGGTCGGTCGTGCGGGTGGCAGCCACTCGATGTGTCCCTTTCACATCGATGTTTCTCTCTCTCTCTCTCTCTGTTCCTCTCTCTTCCCTCCCACTCTACCTGAACAAAAAATGGAAAAGTGTCCTCGGGTGAGGATAAAAAAAAAAAAAAATAGTACATGGCTGACTAGGACATAACACAGGAAAACTACTTGCAAAATTTTTTCTTTAAAATAGCCCTGGATCTTGATTTAATTCCACTTGAACTTCAGAGAAAGTATTGCATTTATATGTCTGCTTTAAAAACTCATGTCGGTTGCCCAGCTGGTGTGGCTCAGTGGTTGAGCCTCCACCATGCACCAGAAGGTTGCTGGTACCAGGTCAGGGACATGCCCAGGCTGTGGGCCGGGTCCCCAGTGCAGGGCCTGAGGGAGGGCCAGTCGATGTTCTCTCTCATCGATGTTTCTATCTCTCCCTCTCCCTTCCTCTCTTTCTAAAATCAATAAAGAAAAAAATAACTCATGTTGGCAAAAACCTGAAAGACCTGAAAATTAAGATACTACTTCATTAAAAATTACCAAAATAATATACTTAATTTCAAAAATATTTTTATTTTTATTGTCAATGCAGTGAACACTTCAGCAATGGATAAGCTTGGGAAGAAAAGGACATCTGCAGTAGTTGAAGATGTGGGGTAATGTCCTTAACATATATTTTGCCTGTTAGATGAGTACTTTAAGAAAAGTCTACTTTGGTTGTCCAGTGAGTGTTATATGTAAAATACTGGGAATGTGATATTTCTTCCAAAACAAGTATGATACTTTATGGATCCTTAATTTAAAATTTTAAATATAATTTTTTCACAGGGGTGCAGTACAGAATATGCTGGAAAAATTTGGAGGTATGTTTTCGGAAATACTTCTATTTAAAGAAAATTGTTTTAAACCAGATACCTTATATAATAATCAGTGTACTCAACATTGTCATTGACTGCCTTGTTCTCATATAAATGGTTTTGCATAAGTATACTATGTGATTCAGCTTCATAGTTTTTTGTTTGCTTTTAGATAGAATAAGAGGGAGGGAGGGAGAGAGAGAGAGAAACATTGATGTGAGAGAGACACATGGATTGGTTGCCTCCCACACAATCCCGATCCGGCATCAACCTGCAACTGAAGTATGTGCCCTTGACCAGGAATCGAACCCGGGACTCTACGATCTGAGGGCCTACACTCTAACTGCTGAGCCAAACTGGCCAGGGCTTCATAGTTTTTCTTACTTAACATTTTCTATTTGTTGATGTGAAGAGTGCAAATGGTACTAACAATTATGAGTACTAAAATGGTGCTTTTATTTTATACATGTGTGAATTTAATGGATTGGAATTTTAGGACAAAAATGGATGGGAAAAGTCTCTACCCCTCTTGACTTTTGCAGACTCTTCCATGGACTACAAACACACACATATCTATCTGTATGTGTATCAGTTTTCCATTTTCTCAACTTAGTTATTTTCTATGACTTTTCTTTGTTCTTTTCTTTAGCAGAGGTAGTGTAAACTGAAGCCTTTAAAATAGCTGTTTATTGTTATTTTTACATTCTTAAACTATGTAGTTGAGAATTAAAAACAGCCTTGCTAGCTAGTAAGAGATGTATAATCAGATAAAAGTTCAAAAACTTTACATAGTGTGTCAGATATCAATTACATTAACTATGTTAGGGGATATAGTACTCAGAAAACAGTCAATATTTGGTTTCTCTCTATGGTTTGTTTATTCATCATATAATCAAGTCTTTTTTGAAAGCTTTACTGTGTTAAGTGGTGGCAAAAGGCTTCTTTTGTGATTTCATGTATTGTTATTGATGGATATTGGATATATTAAAATATTTATATAATAAAGCAGCTTCATCATGATTATTAAAAAATAACTATTGATGGTAAATCTATATGCACATGCTTAGTGAAGCATTATTTAAAGTATTCAAAAAATTGTGAGCCCTGGCTGGTGTGGCCCTTTTGGTTGAGTGTCTTTCTGTGCACCAAAAGGTCACTGGTTCAATTCTCAGTCAGGGCACATGCCCAGGTTGCAGGTTTGGTACCTGGTTGGGGTTTGTTAAGGAGACAACCAAATCGATATTTCTCTCACTTCAATGTTTCTCTCTCTGGCTTTCTCTATAATCAATGAAAACATATTAAAAATTTTTTTTCTTGAAATACAGTATTTAAGGGTAAAAATGTGTTATAGAAAGCTCCATGAAAGTATTCAAATAGTTCTTGAATGAACTTATCTAGATATTTACTTAAATTAAGATTTTTCTATGCTTGGTCTTTGTCTCATTTAGTAAATTATATGCTTAAAATGATCACAAATTATATGCAAAAAATAATTGTCATGTCTGGCTGGTTCAGTTCTCCGTCAAGGCACATATCTGGATTGCAGGTTTGATGTCCCATTGTGCTGTATGCGGAGGGCGGGCAGCTGAATGTTTCTCTCTCACACATCAGTGTCTGTCTCTCTCTCCATCCCTCGATCCCACTCTCCTTCCTCCTCCCTCTCTTCCCTCCTTTCTTCTTTACCCCCCTCCTTTCCTCTCTCTAAGCATGTCCTTGGATGAGGATTAAAAAATAATAATAATAAAATAATTATTCTTTGATTTAACAAATTTATCTTTTTAGGATTTTTTAAAAATAAATTTTTGTGTTTCATATAATGAATTCTAACAATAATTGCTTTGTGTTGTTTCAGTTGGGGATAGTATTTTATAAATTTAGAAAAATTTAGCCTTTGTGTTATCTCACGAAGAAATTAAAGCCTATCCTTGAGACCTTTTTTTCCCCGTTTATTAGCTCTTTTTAATCACCTGTGTATCCCTAGCTAGGAAAATCAGAACTAGGATACTAATAACTAAAAGTTTTCTCAGAAAAAAGCAAATAACCTCGCAGTTGGATATTATGTCTATTTTAAAATTTTATTTTAATGTCTTTCTGAAACTGTTGAACCAACTTGACCCATATTGATTTCAATATGTGGGAACACAATATGAAATTTTCTTCAGTATTGCATTTTAATGAATATGTATTTTCCATATAGCTGACATTAACAACACTCTTATTGCAAAGAGAAAAAGACTAGCAATGTATACCAAGGCTTCTCTCAAAACCAGTAACCAGAAAATTGAACATATTTGGAAAACCCAACAAGATCAAAGGTATAGTTGTTGGTTCTTTAACAGTCACATTTTTATCATTTCATAATATTCATTAGTATAAATTATGAAAAATACTATTACATTTATTGGGGTCTCTAGTAAAAAATATATTTGGTTTGATTTTTCTCTGTTATTTAGTCCTATAACTTCACTCCTTCATAAAATTGAAATATATTTTCTAGAAATTAATAAAGATTACCTTTATCTCCTTTTAAATAAAAGTTGAAGTTACTTTGCTCTAAAGGTAATTTGTATCTGTTATAGAAATACACTAGCTAAATAAAAAGCAAATGTCATTCTCTGGACAGGCAGGCTCCGTTGATTAGAGTGTTGTCCTGATATGCCAAGGTTGTGGGTTTGATCCCCAATCGGGGCACATACAAGAATCAGCCAATGAATGCATCGACAGATGGAATAACAAATCATTGTTTCTCCTCTGTCTGTCTCTCCCTCTCAAATCCGTAAATAAATTTTTTTAAGTAAATGTCATAAATTATTAATCTTGTGATAGTCAGTGTAGAAAAAGATTTATATTGTAAATAATTTGTATATTTAAGCTGAAATAACTGTTCTTTTGTATAAAATCATTGTTGTACCAAAATGGGCAAAAATTAAGTAAAATATGTCTCATTGGAAATCTTATATAATAATCTCATTCAATCTATCATGAGAAATTTTATATATACAATAAAATGTCCTTAGTTTTCAAGAGCTAAAGCATGTGAGAGGACTTCCGTTAGGGTTAGGAAAATAAATACTTCTGGAATCATGATTTTACTTCTTGGTTTCATATCTGAAATTTTAAAGTGCTTTTATTTCCTTTTATTATAGTATAAATTATGTAAAGTCAGTTTGTTTTAAATGTTTTTTTTCCATATTGGTATGAAATATGACAATATTTGTCTTACAGGCAGAAGCTTAAGCAAGAATATTCTCAGCACTTTCTGACTTTGTTTCAGCAGTGGGAGATCGATGTGCAGAAAGCAGAGGAACGAGAAGAAAAATTAGCTGTTCGTATCATGCTTAGCTTTATAATTAATCTATTTAACCAAGTGTCAAGTAGTAATGGAGTGCCTAGCCTTGTAGGAGACCCATAGAATTTGGCCAGGTTTCATTATCCACAGCTGGCTATATGTTTTGGTCCTGCTGAATGGTAAACCAGGATATAGGCATATACCATACTCTTAAAAGCTAATGGCTTCTGCTTCCTATAGTGCTTGGGATTCTTTCAGTACCAAGTGACAGAAATTTGTCAAAGTGCAAAAGGATTATTGGTTTACATAAAAGAAATCCAGGGGTAGTTTAGCTTCAGACATAGCTGGATGAGGTGGGGAAGGATTGCTTGTGTAGTATCATCTTGGCTCTGTCTCCAGTTCTTAGTAGGCTCTCTCAGTGTGGTAAGCAAGGTAACTTCTTGTAATCCCAGACTTAACAGGTTTAGTAAACCCAGTGGACTAAAACAGTCTTTCGCAGTTGCTCTGACAGAAAAGTCCTCTGAAAGACATCACTGATCAATTTGGATCATTTGCCCATTATTGATTTAGTCATTATGGTGAAAACATGCTTTACTCATGTGTTACCTATTTCTGTTGGAATTGGAAGTTAGCTCCACAAATATATAACATTATTCTTTTATTTTATCCTTTCATTGTTTGTAAAGTTATACATTTCTTATCTAAGAGCTAAGGTACTATTCATATCAAATAATTTTAAGAGTTGGTTGATCAGCTCCATTTTAGAAATGTTAAATTTAAGATGAATATGAAACATACCAAGGGGAGACAATTGAGTAAGCCAGTGGTATGAGTGTGGAGTTCAGGAAAGAGATATGGAATGAACATGCAAAGTTGAGAATTCTCAACAGAAAGATAGCACTTAACCCATGAGGTTGGATGAAATCTCCAAGGGAGTGATTGTAAATGCAAAAGAGAAATCTAAAAACTGGGCCAGTGTTTAGAGTTTAAGATGAGACTGAGTGGCCAAATAGGTAGAAAGAAAACCACTCTAAGCAAAGTGAAGAAATCCTTTTAAGGAGAGGACTTTTTCATGTGCTGTTTATAGGCCAAATAAGGTAGATTTGGCAATGTGAAGGTCATTGATCTTGATCAGAATAGTTCTGATCAATCTTGAGCAGAGTGGTTTAGGTGGAATAGCAAGTGCAAAAACCCAACTGAAATGAGTAGAAGAATGGAGAAAGAATGTGATAGTAGCCTAAGTAGAAAAGGAATAGTGGTTTGTTGTTTTTTAAAGAATGATGAGTGAGAATGTTTGTGTGCTGATAAAAATAATCTTAAGGGGCCCTGGCCGGTTTGGCTCAGCGGTTATAGCGTCTGCCTGCGGTCCGGAGAGACCTGGGTTCGGTTCCCGCTAAGGGCATGTACCTCGGTTGCAGTTTGTCCCCGGCCCTGGTTGGTCGTGTGGGTGGCAGCCACTCGATGTGTCCCTTTCACATCGATGTTTCCCTCTCTCTCTCTTCCTCTCTCTCCCTCCCACTCTGTCTGTACAAAAAATGGAAAAATGTCCTCGGATGAGGATTAAAAAAATAATAATCTTAAGGGAAAAATAAAAAATAATGGAAAGGGAGACAGTTGCTGAATTCTTGAGAATGGATGGGATATATGAAGAAGTTGGCCTTAATAAGGGTAGTTCATCCTTAAAAACAGGAGAGAGGGTAAAGTATATGAGCACAGAGATGTAGGTGGGTTGATAGATATGGTGATGGGAGACTGACATTTCTCTTCAGATTGTTTCTATTTCTTTTTCTTTTTTTTGGGGGGGGTACGTGCCCCTAGCGGGAACCGAACCCGGGACTCTGGTTTGCAGGCTGTCGCTCAACCACTAGCCAAACTGGCCAGGGCTGTTTCTTTCTTTAGTGAAATAATGGTCATCAGAGGGTGGAAAATGTGTTGCCTTTTGAGGTCAAATAAGAAAGTATAAAATATTTTCCTGAGAATGGGCCAGTGAACCGACTAAGGAAATATAATCGTGAGGCAGTTCTAGGGATCCATTTTAGGCTAATGACCTGTTAGTATAGTTGTGGAGTTTTCTCCAACTGACTGTCTTCAGGAATGTAGGCAGAATAGCTAGCGTTGTGTTTTCCAGGGTTGGGGTTTAGCCAAGCAAGTGTGACAGAGTAGGAAGGGAGCAAGGTATAGATGCAAAAGAGTAATTATGATTGACCATAGAGTGTACACTGAGGAATGTGAGGACATGGGAGTAGGGGATAGTGAAAAGTAGGTAGGATGAATAGACTTTAGGTTTTGATAAGAGATTACTGGGCTGTAATACTAAAGAGAGTGAGCTAGAACAGTAAAGAGGAAGTGGTTGAATAGTGGGATATAAGGAGACACATTATGAGTAATGGTTAGAGCCTGGATTCTAGAAACATACTGTTTGGAATTACATTCTGGTTTGAACAAATGCTAGCTATGAACTATGGAAAAATTATTTTTATTTTTTCCTCAGTTCCCTCATTTATATAAGGGGCATAATAAGAATACATATCTCATAGAGTTGCTTGGAGGATTAAATTTCATATATAATAAGTGTACTTAAAAGAGTTCATAGTAGTATGCTATTATTCATACTATATAGAGGTTATTGGTAATGACAAAATCTAGGATATAAGTATGTAAGGGACTGGCTAAAGTAGGGTGGAAGACAAAAATCACTGGTAGAAAGTAAGTCAAGGAACTGAAAGACCAGCATTATCAGAAGGATCATGTGTTGATACTGAAAGCTCTAAAACATTTGGAGTATTGTTAAGATTTCCTAGTCAGTGACTGGTAGGATTACTATATTGTACGTACATGGTGAGCACAGATTATCTTTATAGTAGCTGTTAAAACAATTTTAAAAGTATTGATTTTAAAACTAGTCCCTTTAAGCTTACTTTTTGCTAAATTTAAAATTTTACTCAAATTGTTATTACATAATTTTTCTTTTACTTTCATAGAATTTGTTTCGACAGCAACAAAAGGTTCTTCAACAATCCAGAGTTGTTCAGAGCCAGAGACTGAAAACAATTAAACAGTTATATGAGCAGTTCCTAAAGGTCTGTTGTATTTGGTAACACAATATATTCTTATAAAACAATTTATGCTGGAAGAAGATAATTTTTTTCTAAATTTAAGGAAAAACATTTTGCTTAAGCATTTAAAATTCTTAAGTACTTTCCATTTTGAATTCATTGTTTTTTATTTAAGTACTAAATGTATTCTACTTTAGGATTCTAATGTTTTAGTGGAAATTATTAAAAATAGGAAATGGTAAATTGGGAATTTCACCGAAAACGTACATATTATGCAATGTCGTACTTAATATTAGCAGTAATAATAGTTCTCTCTTCAACTGAAAATAGAAAGTTCATAAATCACTTCTGAGTAGACTTCCAGTCTTTTTTTTAGTATGTTTGATATTGAAACCTTAACAGTTCATTAACCCATTGCTTTAAGCAAAGTACACTACTGTTGTACCTCCTGTAGTAATATTTATGTCTGACACTTTTTAATCCTTTACTGGGTATTCTGATTTTGATGTATTTACTTAGAGTATTTTTATTTGGAATAAATAATGTACACTATTTGAATTTTTTAAAGTTCCTACTTTTGAAAATTAATTGTACAAGAACCTGAGATGAAAAGTGGTGGTCTGTAACTGAACTAGCCTTTTGTTTTTTAGAGTATCGGGGACTTGGAGAAGAATCATGATACTCTACTTACTGGTGCACAAAATGAACTTAAAAAAGAAATGGCTATGTTGCAAAAACAAATTATGATGGACACTGTAAGTTATTTAAATCCAAAAAAGTAAGGATTAATATAAGCATTGAAATCTTTTTATTTGTTGAAATATGTATAACACTTATCTAAAAATTAAACAAATGTTTAATATCTCCTTTCACAAACAGCAGCAGCAGGAGATGGCAAATGTTCGAAAGTCTCTTCAATCCATGTTATTCTGATGACTCTTTGAAGGAAGAACTTGAACCTAAGTAATGATAAAATTGTAATATTAGCTAAGAGGTATATAAGTCTTTAGAGTGATTTTAAGTTTCTAGTTTAAAACATTACATTGTTTAATCATTAGCTTAAGTGCAAGCCTCCTCTTTCTGTTAACCTCCAAAAAAAATCTAAACAGTTATGTGAGTAGCAGCAATTCTAAATTGTATGTACCAGGCTTTCTGCCTTTTAATAGTAATAGTTAATTTTTCTAACACTTGTTAATTAATTTAGCAATAAAAATGATTTAATTTCAAGTTTTGGCTTCAGTGTGTCTGTATCAGTCCCAAATAGTAAGTAGAAAGCACAAGCACAGAAGGTTGCATTGTTGTTCTTTAAGAAAAATAAACAAAATCTATTTTTATACATACATCCTTTTGTATACAGTAATTAAGTTACACAGCCAATTCTAATGGTAAGATTTCAAAAGAAAATCTTATAAAATTTATTAAAAGCACTTTAAGTTGGTGTTATGGAATAAAACTGCTAAAAACCATTAAGATAATTGAACAAGATATAATAAATAATCTGTTTTAAAATATGGATTTGTGCCCAGCCAGTGTGGCTCACTGGATTGAGCATCATCCCATGGACTGAGAGGTCTGGGTACTATTTCTGGTCAGGGCACATGCAGGGGTTGCAGGCTCAATCTTCAATAGGAGGCATGCAGGAGGCAACTGATAAATGTTTCTCACACGGATGTTTCTATCTCCTTTCCTCTCTCTCTAAAAAAATCAAAACATTTTAAAATATCTGAATTTGTGAATGTCATTTCCACAAGGACATTAAAATGCCATTTAATTGGACTTGGTCCAAAATTAAATGGCACACACTTATAGTAATGAGTAAAAGCATATTATCAACGTCCCTAATTACCTATGGTTTAAGTACTTCACATCTGTTTTCAAGGATAAATTACCTGTCTTTGTCAGTTTCAATGTTCAGTAAATGTATGGAATTTTTATTTTACATTCATTTCCAAACTTGAACAGTTAATTCTGATACCTTGTCTTTTAAAATGTGTATTTTAAAAACATAAAATAATATATGAAACACTTGCTTTAGTAAAGAAATAAACTCAGCATTTGTTTTAAGTCAGTTAAACTTACTATTTTTTGCTCTAATTGCTTTAATTGAATCATTCAAAACAAAAAATATGCCCACCTCACTCCTTACCCCCCTACCCCGAATATGCCCATTAGGGGGAAAGGTGTGATTTTCTCTTGTTTCTCCACGTTGTAAATTCTAATATTTTCCCCCATAACGCACTCTTATCTTAGTTTTAAGGGTTTCAAAGTTTTTAAAAACAAGTTCATACTGATTCTCTTTTTCTAACTGTGATAACTTATATAGGAAGAAATTAGTCCTCCACCATTAAAATACCTGACATTAGGGGAACAATTTACTTCCTAAATTTTTGCATTTAATAGAGGAGTTCCCTGTTAAGCCAAAGTTAATGTTGGAATATAAATATTAGGTACTACTCAAATATCTAAGAAGGTCCTTATTTGAATTTACCAATTGTTACAGAGGCAAAATAAGTACCCTGGAGTAGGAACTTTCACTTTTCATTATGTCTTTTACTTGCTTAAGATATAGTATATGTTCATTATTATATTCATTTTATTATTTCATCATATGGCTTACACAGAAATGTTAGATAAAATTAAAAATAGGGTAAGAGGGTAGTCTGAGGATTTGGATCACCAAATAGCCTTGTGATAGTTCTGTTATTCATAATGAACATTGTAAATACTTTTAAGTACGAGTAGAAAGATAAGAATCAGTACAAAGGGTGCTTAGTGGTTGAATAACTGATACTTATTTTACCTCCCTTTTTCCTTAAATGAAATGTGTAGTTGTAGTAACTTTGGCTGATATTCTAAAGGGAAGATATTTTTGCCATGTTTTCATAAATTACTGATTTTCTTATGTCAACTATGCTTTAAGCACTGTTTTCTTTTTCATAAAAGGGGATGTTTAATGTCCACCTTTTTGTGACAATGAAATTTTGACTCAGAATACCAAGAAACAAGTTACCCTCAGTGTAAAGATTCATTTGTTTTTCTGAACTACTAAGACAAGTTGCTTTAATAGAAATTATAGAAATTTCCAGTAGTCCTTTTAAATTTTAGTTGGTATACTAAAGCAAGTATTTCATTTTATACGATAGCAATTAACATACCTCTTTTGAAAATGGCTAATGAAAAATACAGCATTTGACTTAGTAACTAGAGTATTACAATCCATGCACTTACGCAGTATTATGAACTGATTGATTTTTAGCAATCAAAGTAAGCATCATCCTCAACATGACTAAAATCCTTCAAATCCTGAACATTTTTGTAATCATTGCCAATGAAAATCCTGAGTGTAAGACTTTCTGAGACAGAGAGACTGCTACTTAGAACAATAGTGGTTTACTATCTTATCCCCAGAAAACTGAAATTTCTTTCTTTGGTTTTATTTCTAATTTATAGATTGTATTACTCTGGTGATATCTGTGGTCAAAAGTGTTGATACACAACAAGGACTTCACAACTGAAATAGACGTAATGTAATCTACAGGACTTAATGTTTTATATTCAAATACAACCTTATTTGATAGTATACTAGCCTCCTGCAAAAGGGGATTTCCTTCATTCCTAGGTTCCCCTAACTGCTTCTTTTTTCCTTGGGCTATTAGTCAATATGCTTGTGAACCTGTTCAGGTGCTTGATGACATGAAATCTTGAAGATACTTAGATGAAGGTGTCTTGAAATTTGCAGGCACAAAGCACTAAAGTACATCATCATATCAAATGAAGAAATGACCTTTAGAAGCAAAAACAATACATACATAAAATGGGTTATGGTTTATCTTTTCTGAAGCAGCAGCTATTTTTCTGCCCCTGCCCCATCTCAAACCTTAACAAAATTCTTCACCGAAAATATTACATTATAGAGTACTTTATTTCATATTTGGACCTCATGTAGTCAGTCCTCTGGACCATGCAAGGTATTTCACAGTTATAAAATCTGAGACAAAGCAGTAAAAGCCTACACTAAAATGTAAAATACAAAAACTGGAAAGTAACAGAAGGTAAGTCTTAACTCCACATTCTTTCATTTTTCTGCTGTGAAAGTAACAGAATGTAAGTCTTGACTCCACGTTTTTTCAAGCTTCCGCTATGCAACTAAGCCACACATTTCTACTAGAAAGGGGCTATCCGTTATAATGAAATCATTCCATCATATTCATTTCTTACTCCTTTGAGATTAGTTGTAAGAAAGTAAAGGCATATGGAAGTGAGGTAGATGTCCCTTGTGTGGATTCCTCAAATATAATTTCTGCAGGACCAAAGAGGAAAAAAAGACCCGGAAAAGACACCATAGTTGAGGGAGACATATACAAAATTATGTTGTATAAAAAACTGAGGAAAGCACACTATTTAAAAACTTTCCCAGAGACCAGGGGCAAATGCTTCCTTTCAGAAAAAGGAGCCTCACACCTCTGCTGGTAGAGGGAACACTCACCCATCGGGCAAATTGCCCTATCATTTACTTGAAAAGCTCCATGTGACCCTTTCTCTCTGAAGCAAGAACTTTCCCCCTAAGGATGCCAAAGGGCACAAGTGTTTTGTTTGGTCCACATCGTGGTTTAAAGAAAAACTGAATTTGACTTCCTCACCATAATCACCACCAGTGTAAACTAGGCCAACTCATTCATTACCAAATAGGTACTTGAGTTTTTAAAACCTGATATTTTAATTATGTTAATCAACTCCATTTGGTAATATTTAAGTTCACAAAAAGAAACCCTACATTGAATTTTCAGATATTTTGAATAATTACCCCATTTCTTACATTTATACTGTTTTAAAGCTAAATGTATTTAAAGTGGACAGCAAATTAAAGGAAATTATTCTAATTTGCAGACACTTTTTAGAATATTGTCTGAAAAACTTTCAAGGATCTTATTACCATTTGAAGAATGGAAAATATTGAATGGACCACAAATAGATATTATTAATTTACTCCAGAACCCAGTATAAAGGATCATCAGATGTACCCCAGTGGTCCCCGCCCAGAACAGAGTTTTTTTAGAGCCTAAATCTAACAAATAGGGTGAGTTTATTTAAATTAACAAAAGATTCACAGCAAACTTCAATATGTGTATATTAGTGAGGCAAGTGAGGTCCAGAGGTAGGGAAAATTATAACAGAATTGTTCAAAACCACTGTAACTGAAGATCAACCATTAAGATGTCTCAATAAATAAAAATTTACTAAATTCTTCTTCTATCCACTTCTGTGATTAAGATGTTCCAGAAATGCTTTTTTTTCCTTTGATGGCTAAAACTTCTCTCTTAATTCTATATAATAACTTTGAATAATATTTTGAGCATGTATATTATCCATATCACTTTCTTGAGCAGGATGTAATCAATGAGAATTTAACCTCTGCTTGATGAGAGTCATCATCATGAATATAAATTATACACTATCCTCGAGAGCCAGACAGATACATAGATTGCTTACATGTACCATAAAATGGTCCCAGAATCCTGTATTTGGTAATACTATCTGTCCTGTTTCATTCCTCAATATTAGCTGACAGTTCTTGATGCAATAAGTGCTCACATTTGCTAACACTAAGTCTATCTAATTTACCTGTTACCTGCTATAAGCTTGGAATAATTCTAACAAGCTTGGTTAAGTGAACGTCAGACACTAATAAGTGTTGTTGTCTTCTGGCAGAATAAAGTGATTTTTGACATCTTTGTACTATTTCTTTGGAAAGAGAAAGATATAGTTATTTTTAGGTAAACAGGTGTATTTTTAAAGATTTAGGTTGTTGGAAAGCAAGATCTCCAGCTATGTAGGCCATTTCTATACTCAATAAATAATTCACAGCTTAAAAAGTAATTTTACAGAAATATTAAATTTACAGTATAGACTAGTAGTGAGGCTACTTGATATTTCACTGAAATGACTCTTAAGCACAATGTTATCTGATATTTGTTAAAAATAAAAATCTTAGCAGAAAAGAACTTACCATTGCTATCCATAGAACAACGTATTCATCTACAAAATTATTAAAGTACTGGTCTAAAAATAAAAGACCTGGGCCAAAAAAGACAGTGTCTTGAAGATACAATTCACTTTTAGTCATGTGAGCTATCTATAAAAAAGTAAACAAAATCATTTCACTATTAAATTTTAAACATTTTAGCTTTTACTTTCAGAACAGAATTGATTATAACTTTAATTCACTATTAACACAAATAAGGATAAAGAAAGAGACCATTTACTCTTACACTCGATATGGAAATACTGAATCTAAAACTTCTCAAATTCATGACTGGATACTGGATAGCTTATTCAAGTTTACAATATTTACATTTCTTTTTTTTTTTTTTTTTATCCTCACCCGAGGACACTTTTTGCATTAATCTTCAGATAGAGTGCAAGGGAGAGAGGAAGAGAGAGAGACACATCAACTGGCTGCCACCCACACAACCCCAACTGGGGCCGAGGACCAACTGCAACCAAGGTATATGCCCTTAGCGGGAACCAAACCCAGGTCTCTAGACAGTGGGCCGACGCTCTAACCACTGAGCAACTGGCCAGGGCCAATATTTACATTTCTTGATATCAGAAAGTTATAATTAATAATTATAGTTAAACAATTAAAATAACTTACTATACAGTAATGAGTGTCTGCCTGAATATAACATTAACTCATTCACAATTTTACTTGGAGGACAAATAGGTAACTATATATTGGGATGATAACACCACAATAAAACCTACCCATTTTATAAAATAGTTTCCAGCTCTGTGTCTAAGAACCAAGTAGGTAATTTATACCATGAGTCATAAAATAATTTCTTACCACCAATTTTTGTGAGACTTTAGCAAAGACACATCCAAACATTAAGGTATAAAGACAAGGATGCTTTTCAAACACATTAGTTGCTGACTTTTTATAGATCATTATTGCCAGTATAATAATTATTCCTATGTGAAGTCCAGGTGACAAGACACTGGTGCCCTGATGGATAAAGCAGAAAAATTAGCATTACATTTTAACATTGCATTTACTACATTGCATTTTCTGAGCCTCTATTTTGTTTTGGGAGACCTAAAAAACTGTATGATGTAGTGTTAGGAGTATACAGGTTTTAGTGGTGCTTTTCAAACTTTCACTGAACTCTAGGGTTCCAAAGATTCAGTGCTACAGATGTTTGATTCCAATTTTATATACATATACATTTTAAACTAATAACAACTAAAAAATAACAATATAATTTATTCTAGACCAAGTTTTACTATGCTAAAGGCCATCAACACTTGGACTGCCAGATTTTTGTCCAGATATATCTCCCTTGGTCTATTTTTGTTGTTAATCCTTACCTGAGGATTTTTTTCCCCACTGCTTTTAGATAGAGTGGAAGGGAGGGAGGGAGGGAGGAGAGAGGGAGAGAGTTAGGGGGAGAGAGAGAGAGAGAGAAACATCAATGTGAGAGAAACACTGGTTGCCTCCTACACAACCGTGACTGGGGATCGAACCTGAAACCTAGGTACATGTCCAAGGACTGATGTTCTAACCGCTGAGCCAAACTGGCCAGGGCTGCCTAGGTCTCTCTCAATGCAACATCATCCCCCTTTTTTTGTATTTAGACTGCAAATGCACTCATGTAACATTGTAAAATCCAACCCATTACATTTTTATCTATGTGAATCAGGATACTCTCAGTACTGCTTATCCTAAAAAAATACTGAAATAAATTTGGTATGAATACTTACTAAATCTAGAATCACCAGTTTAAATGTGTTCATTAAAACAGACTTATTCTTGTTTAAGTTTACATTTATAAATGATAACTTAAAAAATTACAGTAATACTATCATATATAATAAAACATTATACTATATACTAATAACATAAAAATTTAGACAAATAAAATAGTGTTTTCATCTGTATTATGGTTCTGTAGATTTTATTCAAGAAAAATCTGCTGCTAAAAATGTTGGAAAACCATCAGTTTAAGAGTTGACATGAACCACTTCTTAGTATTTGATTTCTTGTCTTCCTTAAAAGGCCAGTGTGGCTCAGTTGGTTGAGTGTCATCCCAGGCACCAAGAGGTCACTGGTTTGATTCCCAGTCAGGGCACATGCCTCAACCTCTAGTAGAGGGTGTGCAGGAGGCAGCCGATTGATGTTTCTCTCCCTCTCCCTTCTTCTCAAAAATCAATTAACATTATTTTTTTAAAAAAGAATGAAAAAAACCAGTTCATCAATTATTTCTTAGTAAAATATTCTCTAAAGTGGACACTGATCCTTACTAAATCATATTTTCTTTCAGAGAGCTCATGTTCCGGCTAGTGCTCTATTTTATCATCCATGGTCAAGCAACTAGTCTTCATAAGCAACTTGTACACAGTACTGTATTGAGGTTACCTAAATGATTTTTATACTTTGCTTTTGAACTATGTATATAAAATGCATTCATAAAGATTAATAATTTATTAATTATGTCGACTCCTTTGAAATTGTCTTGAGAGCCAATTTATAAGTCATTGAAGAGGATGAGACACTGTTTAAACTAAAAATGCTGTATTTCACCCGGCTGGTGTGGCTGAGCATCGACCCATGCACCAAGAGGTCTCCGGTTCGAATCCCAGTCAGGGCACATGCCCAGGTTGTGGGCCTGATCCCCAGTAGGGGGCATGCAGGAGGCGGCCAATCAATGTTCTCTCTCATTGATGTTTCTATCTCTCTCCCTCTCTCCCTTCCTCTCTCTCTAAAATCAATAAAGAAAAAAATTTTTTAAATAAATAAAAAAATAAAAATGTTGTATTTCATGTTTATTACACCTTTTATTTATTAGACCTAGCTCCAAATGACTGACTTTTTTTTCACAATCAAATCCACCTTTAAAGGACAGAAAATTTGAAGTATAGCACCAAAGAAAATAAAGAGAATGAGCTACAGCTTAAAGCAATTCTACCAAGACATTCCAAAAACATTCTGATAAAAGATGGTGTCCCTGGAATAAGTATTTATATTCTTATGTCCAACTACCTTAAAGATAACAATATGTTTTTTAAAGAACATAGATACTGTGTTATAATTGTTTAAAAACTTGACAGAAATTCTGACTCCCATGTAAAAAAGAAATTTTAAATTAAAAAACAAATATGAGTAAATACAAAAGTATTACAGTATGAGTAAAATGTAAAGAACACAAAATATAAAATCTATCTACTTATAATTTAAGAATCAAGATTTTAAAATTTTACCTTTTAAAATAGAATAGTTCTAGCCCTGGCCGGTTTGGCTCAGCGGTTAGAGCGTCGGCCTGCGGTCCCGAGAGACCCGGGTTCGGTTCCCGCTAAGGGCACGTACCTCGGTTGCAGTTTGTCCCCGGCCCTGGTTGGTCGTGCGGGTGGCAGCCACTCGATGTGTCCCTTTCACATCGATGTTTCTCTCTCTCTCTCTCTCTTCCTCTCTCTCCCTCCCACTCTATCTGAACAAAAAATGTCCTCGGGTGAGGACAAAAAAAAAAAATGGAAAAATGTCCTCGGGTGAGGATAAAAAATAAATAAATAAATAAAATAAAATAGAATAGTTCTAAAATATGTATTTCAGTAAAATTTACTTCACTAGAAATAGGGACTCCATATGTGAAACCATGACCCTTGGCAGCTCTCCATCCATTCAGGAACTCATTCTCTACCTTTCTCCTTTCCTTATTAGTGCAAGGCACAAAATGCAAGAAAAAATGGCAACTCTTAATTATGTACAGTGATGAAACAGTGGATAAGTAAGTGAAATGTCAGAAAAGTCTATTCAGAAAGGCTGTAGAAAGAGGAAAAATGCTTTATCAGTCTAAACTGTTTTTAAAATTCTTTTGTATTATGTACCTAAAAAGAATCCTTTAAGATATTTAGTTCCCTTCCCCATTGTTGAACTTCAGTATATTTTTAGCATCTCTCTCGCTGGTGATAAATAAATTTAGCATAAAATTAATACTAAATAATGATGAAATTAATGTCTTACTGCTATAGTGGATCCATTCTTGCCAACTCCACCATGGAGGATAACATGGAAATAATTTGAACAGGAAAATATTGCTCCACCTACAACTCCAAGAACTGGGAAGATCTTCAATTTTACCTCTAGAATGGGTATCTTCAGGGGTAGAGGAAAGAAACATAATTAATAAAATAGATTTATTTCCCTATTACATAGAAAAAAAAAAACATTATGATATGGCCCTGTCCAATAAGTTCTCATTTTTCTTATAATCAAACCTTAACTTCTGGAATGTAGCCCGAAGTGGTAACTTTTTCTTTAATGGTTTTATTCAATAAGTGAAAAAGGAATCCACCAAATTCCGCTAAGTCTACTTACATAATTGTGATGAGACATTTAATCTCACAAACCTTCATCTGACTTAAAAGAATGAAAAAGTTCACTTGGATTTAGTACTTCTAAAGGGCAGTATCACAGGAAAGTCAGACACCATGATCTGCATCATGAATGTGACAATCATCATGTGCGTGCATGCAAAAACTGTGTAGTTAATATCCAGGCCGCATATTTACCTGTTGGTCAATTGCTGTTCAAGAAAACTTCCAAAGGCAGCAAAGGATTTAAAAAACAGTAACAATGAATTGCCAAAAGCTGTAGGCTATTGTGTTTTGAAAATAGACGTCGAAATACTGTACCAAAATTTGTGTAAACTGCAGATTAACAATTTAACTTTAGAAAATCTACATCTAAAATAAGCATTCTTGTTGGTGAGAATAAGCAGATGTGCTTTCTTCCTATGGTATTGCCAAAAAATTGAGTGAAATGATTTTAAGATGAAGTTAAATTCTTCCCCATTAAAACTAAACCAGAATTCCAAATTTAAGACAACCACATCTGACTTAATGACCAGAAATGCCTAATTGCCTATAGCTCCACATTCACCTTGGTATGGGGACTAGCAGAGCAGACACCATATAAGACACATCACAGCCCTCTAGTATATTCTAGAGGCCTACAGTAGCATATACTTGACTCTATTATTTATTCGTACATGATGAGAAGGAAAATGAATGTCTCAGGGAATATACCACTACTTGAAAATATGCTCAAAGTCTAGTTCTGAGCCTAGTATATGGATTGTAATTGGCCAAATCAGACACTAAATGCCACAGAGAAATCTCCTATTACTATTTTAATAGAATTACCCTTTAGAGCAATTTTAGGTTCACAGCAAAATCGTACAGAAAGTACACAGAATCCCCATAGGCCCAAACTGCCCCTTTCTAGCTTCCCCCATTATCAACATCCCCCACTAGAAATAATCCATGAACCTACATTGGCACATCATTATCACCCAAAGGCCACAGTTTATATTAGGGCTCATTCTTGGTGTTGTACATTCTATGAGTTTGGACAAATACATAATGACAGGTATCCAGCATAATAATATCGTACAGAATAGTTTCAATAGTAAAAATCCTCTGTGCTTTGTCTATTTAACCCTCCTCCCCCAAATCTGGCAACTACTAACCTTTCCACTATCTCCATAGTTTTGCCTTTTCCTGAATGTCATATAGTTGGAATCATATACTATATAGACTTTTCAGATTGGCTTCTTCCACTAAGTAATATATATTTTAAGGTTCCTCCAAGTATTTTCATAGCTTGATAGCTCTTTCTTTTTAAAACTAATATTCCATTATCTGGATGTCTCATAGTTTATCCACTCACCTACCGAAGAACATTTAGGTTGCTTCCAAGTATTGGCAACTATGAATAAAGCTGCTATAAACATCTGTGTTCAGGGTTTTGTGTGGATATGTTTTCAACTTATTTGGATAAATACTAAGGGATCTTATGGTAAGAGTATGTTTGGTTTTGTATCTCATATTATTTTCACTGAACTTATACCTTAGTGACTAAAAACAGAGTCTGGAATCAACCTACTTAATTCCTAGCTCCAGTACTCATTAGCTATGTGTTCTTGGACAAATTATTTAATCAATAATGATATCTATTTTATAAGATTGTTCTGAGGATCAGGTGAAAGAATGATAGTAAAATGTTTAGGAATATAGTTAAGTGTTGAATAAATGTTAGTTGTTGGCTATTGATATTATCCTTCTTTTTTTTAGTCACTATAAAAGGAGCTTCTTCTTCCTAACTCTATGGAAATGAGGTTGTGAGCCAGCCAGTGTTGTCGACTTAGGTTGTAGAGACAGAATAATTTGTTTCTTTATAGTTTCTTCCTGTGTAAAGCATGAATTTATGACAGTGGCTTCCTGAGAGTCAACTTTTACCAAGATACTGAAGTCATCAACCAAGCAGAAAATAAAAACACTCCTTAATATGGGAAACTTCACCTCATAATAGATTATTGAAAAAGCAAATTAGCAACAGTTCTTTCTTAACACTGACAGACAAGTTCAAATGTAAAATATTTTATTGAATTTACTTTTCTAAATATCTACTTTATGAGATAAATTTTGACCTGGAAAAGGTAGTTCAACTAGTGTTTAATTTTGTATTAGGGAAATGGGGTTGTTTTCTTCTATGTGGTAATATATTCACGTATGGAGGAAAATGTCATAATAAGGGAGATAGGATAAAATTATAAAACAAAGGGAGAAAGTTAAGAAATGGAATGAATATATAATACGATGCCAGGGATTTCTGAAGAAAATTAACAATGCAATATTTTCCCTAAATATTTAAAAAGTACTTATATATAAGTGTAAACATTCAGTTTTACCGTATAGTCCCACATTGTTGCTCCTCCAAATGTAGACAACACAAAGACGATTATTAAAGCTACCTGAATTTCAGTTACATCCACTCTAAAGAGGAAGGACAAATAGAAAAGATGGTTATAAATATGATTCCTGAATGTAAAGGTTAGTTAACCATATGTTAAATATCAAATATGTAAAAATCTCTATAGGCTTAGATTACTTTCACCTTTAGTTCCATCACTGAATTATCAGCTGACCACACTGTTAAGTAAAAAAACCTACAAAACAACACATGCTCACGTGTAGGTAAACAGTACATGCACAGGGAGAAAACGTTGTACCACATATAAAATTGCTAATCGCAGTTACCACTGAGATCGCAGAAGGCTTTTTACTTTCTACTCTATGTACTTCTGTAAAGTTTGAGTTTTTAATAACAATCATGTATTACTTACATAATTATAAAAAAATTATAAAATATGAAAACAACCAGATAATTTAAGATAAATTCTTAAATACTCTTAAGTCAATTTAACTTGAGAAGCAGGGAAAATTCCAACAGTTTTCCTTATTAAGTTACTAACAGTCTCTATACTTGTTTCTTGTGGGGGTTTTTTCACAGACATTTTTCTCCTAATACATAAACATGCTTAAATTTCTTTCTAAAAAAACACTAAACCAGCCAGTATCAGTCGCTAATCAACATCCCCTGAAGCTATGGACTCCTCTCTTCTTTGCTCCATGTGAGAATGTCAACTCCAAGGAGCCTGGGATTTTTGTCTGTTTTTCTTTCCCCCCCCCCCCCCCTTTTTACCTTAGAAAACTACAACAGGGCCTGGCATATACTGGATGCTCAATAAATATTTGTATAAATAATGCAAAATATTTATTCGAATTCATTGTATAAGCATTACATTGGTATTCTATAACATCACTCAATAAATTATGTTGACTTGCCATCCTCAAATTTATTTTAACCAAATTTCTTCTGTATTTTTTTCCTTATGAAATCAATTCCATATCAGTAACTTACTGATTAATATATATGACATCTGAATTTTTTTTTTTTTTAGTAAGTGTTACTTTTTAATGTCACTGATGTAAAAGTAAACATACACAAGAAACTGAATTAAAATAAAAAGAGTATGGCATGATAATGCTAACTTTATTACTAAATACTTCTGGCCTCCAGATTCTGTTCAAGGTCCTTTCTATATATTATTGTTTAATCTTCATAACTCTTTTACTCAATTATGATTATGTCCATATTACAGATGAAGAAAATGAGGTTAAATAACTTATTTCCAGTTGACCGCATGTATGTTGGAGCCAGAATTTGATTCTGCCCAATCTGATTCCAGAGCCTGTGCTTTTAACTCAACAATACTAAAGCAGAATCATTACCGATTACTAAATAATTTAAAGGGCTTTAAAAATTGGAAAAAAATAAGTAGCAAAATGTAGTAATATTAGTAAAAGTTTAAGTTGTTAGCCCAAGCCAACAAACTCTCTTGGCATATTTTTTCTTTCGCTTTTCAGAAAGAAAAAAGCCATATTAAACAGGCTTACATCAGGAATATAGTCACAAAATAAATTTCCACAGCATATTCTGAGATTGTTTGGCCTGGCTTCATTTATCTGTACTCCAATAATATAAACACTATAAAAATTAAAACCTTCCTAAAATTTAGGACAGATTTTTAGGAAATCCATCCTAGTCAACAGCTAACGGATACTGACCTAGTTTGTAAGCATTTTCAGAGGTTTGCTTGATGTCCTACATATAGGTACTTCTTGTAGTGTTAAGCTGGACCATCAATGTATCCTACTCAATGCTCCATGATATTTTTACTTTGGCAAAATGAAAAAATATGCTGCTTAGGATCTCTGGCAAACAGTATTTTGGATGGCTGACCCCTGAGTACTGCAGGATCCCCTCCACTGCCCTCCACACTTGTTCAACCACAACGGCCATTTCCCGAATGTTCTGAATACCTTCTCTCCTGCTTCTGTCTAGGATGCTTTTACCCCAATCAGCCTGGCATATTTCACCCACAAATGACTCAGACTTGTATCTCCAATTCTAGGCACAAAGTAGGCTCTTAGTCAACAGCAAATGAGTATAAAATTCCTTGGCTAGGAGTGTGAGCTAATTCATTTCAGAAAAATTTTTAATGAAGAGAGGAGCCAAAAAGGTAAAGTGTTAATCACTAAATAACAACAACAATAATAATTACCCAGAATATTGCATTATTAATCTAGTTTACCACAGCAAGTTCAGCATATTATTAAAATGCATTAGACTCTGCAAGGCCACTTTTTTTTCTATTTTAGCACATCTTAATCTATAAACAGGTAGAGATTCTTAATTTTACATAGTTGCCTTGAATATTTAGCCAGCCTTTTTCATCCTTGGGCTCTTGACCAGTATGTAAGGGATCAGCTAAGACTCACATTCTCCATAAAAGCTTTCCTAAAGTAATTCAGCCTATAACTGCCTTCTCCGTACTTACAATTTCTTCAGTACTGATATAAATCCTAAAGCAAGTCATTTTACACTTGGTTATGGACTGTATTAGCAGTGTCATAGAAGTAGTATCTCCTCCCTTTAATATAGTGTACTATATAGATCCTAAAACAGATTTTTTTTTTATTAAAAAAGTATCCTTCCACAGCACTGAATACATTGCTGATCCCACAGTATCAAGCAGCAGTCATTAAGAGTGTGGGGTTTGGTCAAATAGACTTGGGTTTTAATCCTGGATCTACACTTATTAGCAGTACAAGAAAGTCACAGAACCTTTCTGTCTCATTTATACATTGGAGGTAATACTTTTATAGAGTTAATCTGAGGAATAAATGAGATGACACATATAAAGTACTTAAAACAGGGCCTAAAACATGCCAGAGTTCAATAGTGGTAGCTGCAATTATTCCATAATTTAGAATCAATGTGAATAATTGCCCAAGGCCTTCCCTCTGCTAAATGACCCATAGTTTTGAGCTTCTTCTCTCATTTACCATTATCAGAGATTTTTTGTTTCAGAGCTACTGTTTCTCCTATGCGGCAATAAAGTGGGCTAAAGAGAACCATCAGACGTGGGAAGCCAAAGCTGAGAATGAGCCAATGGCAGAGAGTTCTTAAAGGATCATGAAGAGAGGGAGCCAATGGGAAACCGGAACAGACAACACACGTGCTACTTTGTGCACTATTTCCTGGTGTCCCAGAAACTGAGGCTCAGAGGCATATATATCATTGAGTGTTCAGCTCTAACACTTACAAGATGCTTTTACATTTTCTCACCAATTGTCTAGCACAGCTGAGAGTCTCACAATTACCTGTTGTTGGTGACTGTTGTAAGTGGGTTCCCCTTTTTGGGCACATGAAGGTTAGACCAAAAGGACCTTTAGATTCCATATCTCATTATTTTATTATATGAGTCAAATGCTGTTTACTTAAGTACTACATATCCTTTTTCTATATTATTCAGGTCCCTTATTTTTCTCTTTCTCTTGTATAATATAAGTCTGGGCTAGTAAGTTGGAGAAGGGGAGAAAAAATAAGGTTATCATCATATATATAACTATTTATAACCTGCAGAATACCTAAAAGACTTAAAGTATAACATTTATGGACACTCCAATAAATTAAAAGAATTTAAATTCCTGATTTGAAGCCCGGTTCCACTTGTTACATATCAAATGAACTATAACAGATTGTGAAAACAAATTCAGTTATATTTGTAAATGTACAACTTAAAATACATACTTACTTTCCAAACCGCAACACACCCGAAACATAAGTCTGCCAATGAGCACAATAAAATAAGAACATCCCAATAAAAGAGCAGAAAAACAACCAGTCAGGATGAGTTCCCAAGCGCACAGCAACTGAAGCTCCAACTGCCATTAATACTGAAAGAAACAAGGTTTAAATTAAGAACCATTAAAAAATAGAAATAATTAATGAAAAAAATCACCATGTACTATTCAGCAATACTGACTTTTTTCCTTCTTTTTTTTATTAATTTGTTTTTGTTACAGATGTTTCTTTTTCCCCTGATTCCCCCCTCCACCTCCTCCCTCCCCGCCTGTCCCCAGCTTTGTTGTCCATGTCCATTGTTCATGCATACATGCATGTAAGTTCTGTGGTTTATCTCTCCCCCACCACCCCCTCTCCTGGGGATTGTCTGTACCCCACTTCCACATCTCTGGGACTACCCCATTCCTCAGACTGTTATGTTCATTATATTCCACAAATAAGTGAGATCATATGATACTTGTCTTTCTCTGTTTGGCTTGTTTCGCTTAGGATAATACTTTCCAGGTCCCTCCATGTCGTCTCAAAGAATAAGAGATCTTTCTTTCTTACAACTGCATAGTACTCCATTGTGTATATGTACCACAGCATTTTTATCCATTCGTCTACTGATGGACACTTGGGTTGTTTCCAGATCTTAGCTATTGTAAATAGTGCTGCTATGAACATAGGGGTACATATATTCTTTCTGACTGGTGTTTCAGGCTTCTTAGGGTATATTCCTAGAAGTGGGATCACTGGGTCAAATGGAAGTTCAATTTTTAACTTTTTGAGGAAACACCATAGTGTTTTCCACAGTCGCTGCACCAGTCTGCATTCCCACCAGCAGTGTACTAGAGTCCCCTTTTCTCCACACCCTCGCCAACACTTGTTGTTTGATGATTTGTTGATGGCGGCCATTCTGACAGGTGTGAGGTGATACCTCATTGTTGTTTTAATTTGCATCTCTCTGATGATTAGTGATGTTGAGCATTTCTTCATATGTCTCTCAGCCATTTATATATCCTGTTTGGAGAGGTGTCTATTTAGTTCCTCTGCCCATTTTTTAATTGGGTTCTTTGTCTTCCTTTTGTTGAGTTGTATGAGCACTCTCTCTATATATATGGAAATTAACCCCTTATCTGATATATCATTGGCAGTTATGCTCTCCCATACAGTGGGTTGCCTTTCCATTTTGATGATTGTATCTTTTGCTGTGCAGAAGCTTTTGAGTTTGATGTAGTCCCATGTGTTCATTTTCTCCTCTGTTTCTGTTGCCTTAGGTGATGTATCAGTGAAAATTCTGCTGCGTATGATGTCTGAAATTTTGTTGCCTGCATTTTCTTCTAGAATTTTTATAAATTTACGAGTTACATTTAAGTCTTTTATCCATTTTGAGTTTATTCTCATGTATGGTGTAAGTTGGTGGTCTAGCTTCATTTTTTTGCAAATAGCTGTCCAATTTTCCCAACACCATTTATTAAAGAGTCTGTCTTTACTGCACTGTATGCTCTTGCCACCTTTGTCAAATATTAATTGAGCATATTGTCTTGGGTCCATTTCTGGGTTCTCTGTTCTGTTCCACTGATCTATATGCCTGTTCTTGTGCCAGTACCTGGCTGTTTTGATTACAGTGGCTTTGTAAAATAACCTGAAATCTGGTAATGTGATCCCTCCTCTTTGTTCTTCTTTTCCAAGATTGCTGTGGCTATTTGGGGTCTTTTTTGGTTCCATATAAACTTTTGGAGTATTTGTTCTAGTTCTGTGAAGTATGTCATTGGTATTTTGACAGGGATTGCATTGAATCTATAGATTGCTTTGGGTAATATGGACATTTTAATGATGTTAATTCTTCCAATACATGAACAAGGTATATGCTTCAACTTTTTTATATCTTCCTCTATTTCTTTTTGCAATGACCTGTAGTTTTCTGTGAAGAGGTCCTTTACTTCTTTGGTGAAGTTTATTCCTAGGTATCTTAATATTTTTGCTGCAATGGTAAATGGGATAGTTTTTTTAGTTTCTCTTTCTGTGAGTTCATCATTGGTGTATAGGAATGCCATCGATTTCTTGATGTTAATTTTGTATCCTGCTACTTTGCCGAATTAATTTATTAAGTCTAGTAGATTTTTAATGAAGGGGGCGGCCGGGCACTGGGCGCCAGAAGTGGGATCCCCTTGAGGCTCACGCACCCCTCCCCCCCCGCCCTCACCGGGTCAGTGACAAAATGATAAGAGTAGTGGTATTTCACCAGCAGCCCACAAGGCCGGCGGACCCTGCCTGGCCCCCTTGCGGGGACAAAGGGGCACCGGGGGCCTCCCACTTGTCTCTTCACCGTGCCAGACTAGAGTCGAGCTCAACAGGGTCTTCTTTCCCCACTGATTCCGCCAAGCCCGTTCCCTTGGCTGTGGTTTCGCTGGACAGTAGTAGGGACAGTGGGAATCGTTCATCCATTCATGCGCGTCACTCAGTAGATGACGAGGCATTTGGCTACCTTAAGAGAGTCATAGTTACTCCCGCTGTTTACTGTCACTTCATTGAATTTCTTCACTTGGACATTCAGAGCACTGGGCAGAAATCATATCGTGTCAACACCTGCCGTGGGCCTTCACGAAGCAATACTGAGTTTTAAGATGCATAATCTTGGCATTAAAATAAGGTACACCAGGTTGGCTGGTGTGTCTCAGTAGACTGAGCATCATCCCATGGACTGAGAAGTCCCAGTTTGACCCCCAGTCAGGGCACAAGCCTGGGTTTGTGGGCTTGATCACCAGTAGGGGGCGTGCAGGAGGCAGCTGATGGATGTTTCTCACATTGAGGTTTCTCTCTCTCCCTTCTTCTATTAAAAAAAATCAATTAAAAAAAATGTACACTAAACAAAATAAATTCATTAAGACACTTTTAAAATACACTGTGTAAAATTGCTCCCATATATACACCTATCCAAAAAAATTAACCATTCAAGCATTGAACTGACCATTCAAGCTCATTCCATTTAGTGCTTAAGCCATTATTTAAAAAAAAACAAAAAACACCAAAACTATAGTTAATTTACCTGTGGAAAGAGAGTCACAACCATGGTCAAAAAGTTCTCCTAGAGGAGAACAAGAATTTGTTCTTCTGGCTTGTTTCCCATCAATAGCATCCAATGACTGGTAGATGAAGAGTCCGAGCGCACATAACAGGTATGTCCAGTGTGGTGCCTAAAAATAAATGTAAACAATAAAGACTGTTATTATAGTACATAATAATGAGTGACAATAAGCTAGCTTCTGTTTGAAAATAGCTCAATCTTAGCCAATTGACACATTTTCTTGTGTTCACACTTTATATTACTCAGTGTGTTATAAAGAAGATTCATTATCTTCCTTCTACGGATAAAAATTAAACTGAGAAATCAAATGAATTGCTCTAAGTCTCCTGGGTAAAGGGTCCCAGAAGTCCATATTGTGAGAAGTGTCAAGTTAAATAAATGACAGAGCAAGGATTAAGACCTGGTTTGATTCTCAGTCCACAGCTCTTTTAAGAGAATACTATTCATATATGGCACTAGATTTTAAATTCTTCAGTAAGTCTTTGCTCTAAAAACAAAGACAAATTACAGACCACTGCATCCGTTCATGGTGGAGTATGAGGGATTTAGTCTTCCACTGTATAAAACTAGAAAAGCAATAAATGAAACATCAGTTTTCAGACATAAAGGTAATACAGGACGTGAAACACATGAGGTGAGCCTGTGACTGCTCCAGTTTATTGCCTAGAGGCAGTTTCAAGGCCATAGTACAAAAATGGGAACCCCAACAGTGATCTTGCTGTGTTGAGGAGAAACAGCATAGTTCAGGAAGGGCGAGGCAGCTAGAATTCGTGGGCAGAGCATGGAAGAAGGTGCTCAGGTGATCATATGTATGGGGCCTAGAGAAGTGCCTGGCATGCAGAAGTGAGGCAAGAGAGTGAGAAGTTAGGAATGAGGAGCCTGAGACAGGCAGCTGAACAAACTGGCTGAGCAATTCACAGCCAGATACAGACGGTCACCTCCCTGGAAATAACATCCAGGCCTCAGTTGTGTTTCAGCTCCAGGCCCAGAAAAGCTTCCAAACCAGAGAAGTGAAGCCACGGCTGACATCAGGATCAGCTGCAATGACCAATGACCCCCAGCCCTGCCACTGACCGATCCGTAGAAACTATGACCCTGCAAGTGCACTAATGAGTACTCTGCTGAAATTTCCCGAGACCTCCTCTACGATTTCCCCCTACAAGAGAGAGAATAAAGCCCTTTAGACAAAGGACCCAGCCCAATTCTCCCTCTGGGGAGCAGGCCCACACTTTTCTTCCCTCTCAGGTGTGCATCTCCTAAACTCTGAGGGTCCTCAGAAGACTTGCCGCCAGGGGAGCACTGGGCAGCAGCGGCTCCTTCAGGCTCACCCCCGAACCTGTGTCCAAGGCCTCCTTTTCTCTGACTCTCCAGTGAGCCAAAGCAGCCCCGCCTGGGCTCATTTCTTTCCTATAACATTTGTAGAAACTAAAGCAGCCAGCCTAGGCCTCTCACTTCTCCTCTGCTAAGCCCTGCATTGTTTCACTGTCCCCAGTTTTAATAAACGTACCCGCATTGTCACCTGGACTCGTGCTGTGAAAACGTTCCTCACACACTACCAGCTGGCCCTTACCAGACCAGCTCGGGGCCAGGGCCCTGTCTCGTAACAGAAGAAGCCCGTAATTTTAGCTTTTGTAACTGTTATTCCTGATAACATAGATAATTTTAGGTGCTTCATAGGTAAACTTTTCATTTTAATATTAACATCTTTATTTTAATGTATTTTTGAAAAACTGGGCTTAGAATGAGTCTAAGTCTTTAAAAAAGAGTAGGTTTGCCTGGCCAGTGTGGCTCAGTAGTTGAGTGTCAATCCATGCACCAAAAGGTTGCCAGTTTGATTCCCAGACAGGGCACATGCCCATAGGCCTGATCCCCAGTGGGGGCATGCAGGAGGCGGCCAATCGATGTTCTCTCTCATCATTGTTTTTGTCAAGGGCATTTTTGCATTTATCTTCAGATAGAGTGAGAAGGAGGAAGAAAGAGAAAAACATCAATGAGAGAGAGACACATCAACTGGTTGCCACCCACACGACCCCAACAAGGGCCAGGGACAAACTGCAACCGAGGTATATGCCCTTAGCGGGAACCAAACCCGGGTCTCTCTAGTCCACGTACCAACGCTCTAACCGCTGAGCAAAACCGACCAGAGCTCTCATCGATGTTTCTCTCTCTCCCCCTCCCTTCCTCTTTCTCTAAAATCAATAAAGAAAAAAATTTTTTGCCCTGGCCGGCTTGGCTCAGCAGTTAGAGCGTCGGCCTGTGGTCCAGAGAGACCAGGGTTCGGTTCCCGCTAGGGGCACGTACCTCGGTTGCGGTTTGTCCCTGGCCCTGGCTGGTCATGTGGGTGGCAGCCACTTGATGTGTCCCTTTCACGTCGATGTTTTTCTCTCTCTCTCTTCCTCTTTCTCCCTCCCACTCTATCTGAACAAAAAATGAAAAAAATGTCCTCGGGTGAGGATAAAAAAAAGAGAAAAAAAATTTTTTTAAGAGTTTTTAAAGAGTAGGTTTAAAGTTGATGAAAGAAAAATAGTAAATAAAAAATAGTATAGGTAATACACAAAAGCAAAATCTTCCCAAATTAAATTTAGGAAGTACTGGAACTATACAGTGCCCATTTATATGAATTTTTATACTTAAAAAAGGCCTCTTGCCTTTAAATAACCTTGGGTCTGAGTTGACAGATATGCAAAAGATATTACATAACCAGTAACTATTGGGTCAGCTGGTAACAGGGACATGTCAACGATCCAAACATCAACTGACTACTCCCTCCATAAAAATAGAAACTGCATTTATAAGGGGTAGGAAGAAAGAAAAGTGTTAAGACAGATAGATCATGCATATGTGAGAAAGAAGATGTAACGCTGGAGTGGTGTCTAAGGAGGACTTTGTGTCTAATGGAAGGGAAAATTCACAGTTTCTAACAGGCTGCTGATCTGACCCTGCTCTAACCCCTACCATGTGCCTGCGATACAGTTAGGAGGTTCACCTGTGCTGGGAGGGGCATTTCCTTGTTTACGGAGGGAGGCTCCCACAGGATGCCCGGAAGGCTCTAGAGGCGTTGGTGTCACGAAAGGTAACACTGCTGTCAAGCCATTCAGGAAGGGCCCTAGGGGCTAACTGGTTTCCGCGGGACCTGGCCTCAGCCCTGGTGAGGGGCCAGCACTTGCGAAGAGCACACCCATGTTCAGGAAGGGAGGCAGGTTACAAGCCGGGGAAAGGAAACCTGCCCTCAAACACATTGGAAATGTGTACTTTGAAAGGCAGCCTATGTTCTTTTGTTATTTTTTTTTATATCTCCTCCAGTACGTAGAGTTCTCCTCCAGTACTTCCTAGAGTTCTAGTTGAAAAGGCCAGACTCTTATTTGCTAAGGGGAGCAAGAAGGAAGAGGGGCATGAAGAGAACCCCCGGGGCCGGATCTATCATCAAAGTCACCTGTCCTGGGTGCTCTAATATCAGTTCTGTTTTTTAACTTCACAAACTCCGAGTGGCCAGAATATATGCCCAGGTCTCAAATACACCAGGAGAGTGATTTAAAGCTCTTTCCAGCCCTGGCCGCTTTGGCTCAGCGGTTACAGCATCGGCCCGCAGACCAGAGAGACCCGGGTTCGGTTCCCACTAGGGGCACGTACCTCGGCTGCAGTCTGTCCCCGGCCATGGTTGGGGTCGTGTGGGTGGCAGCCAGTCGATGTCTCTCTCACATCGATGTTTCTCTCTCTCTCTCTTCCTCCCTCTCTCCCTTTCTTCCTCTATCTGAAGATGAATGCAAAAATGTCCTCGGGTGAGGATAAAAAATAAATAAATAAATAAAGCTCCTTCCATATGTGCCAATGCTATGCTTTAACCACAGAATTCTAAAGGAGAAACAGCTTAGTCCCTGGGAATCAAGTACAGGAAAGCCATAGGAATCAAAGGGACAAACCCACAGCAAAGCTACTTCCACACCACCTGCTGAAGCTCCCTGCAGACAGGGCTGTTCTCAGGGTGGTGCACCCGCCTGCTGAAATCCTGGGCCCGGGTGCCTGCTTGCCGCACTCAAGTGCCTGCCCTGCTTCTCAAACTCTCACCTCCTGAAAGTGTGAAAGGTGGTTTTTGTTTGTTTTTTGGGGTTTTTTTTGTACATGCCCCTAGCGGGAACCGAACCCGGGACTCTCTGGTCCGCAGGCCGATGCTCCAACCGCTGAGCCAAACCAGCCAGGGCTGGAAGGTGATTTTTTTAAAAAGGAAATATAGTAGATTTCAAAGAAACCAAACCTATATAAAACTTTAATAGGAATCTACAGATTATTGCCTTTACTTATTATTCCCCCAACAGACAACTCTTTATAGTGCAAAGGCAACTATAACCTGAATCATTAAGCCAGGGAATAAAACATTTCTTAAGGTCTTTCTGACTTTCTCAGACATACGGTTCAACTTTCTTATCATAAAGAAAAGAAATTATTCAATGCTCTTTGCTCTATGCTAGGTACCCATCTGTTATAACATAATCCTAACAGAGACACTGACATGGATTTATATACACAGACCAATCAGACAGAGCAAAAACATTTACTCAAATCAACGTAAACAATGAAGCCGCAGTTTATACCAGCCAAAAACAGGTGTGAAGATTGTGTGGTAGATAAATGCTACCAGGCTGGAGCTCGAGGAACTAGATTCAATTCACTGAGTTTTCTCATATGCAAACATAGAAATCACATTAAAGGAGCCCTAAGGTCCTTCAAACCGTGGGAGTCTGACTCTACTTCGGATCAGGCAGCCAAAGAATGGAGGCCAAGGACAGCGCGGCGTTCAGATAGACTGGCTTCATCAACGGGAGGAGGCAATACCGTTCTTGTTTTCTCTATCCCCCCCAACTCTTGCTCACTCTTGTTAAAACTACCCAGGCCAAACAACTGGTAAGTATTTAAGACCCACTAAAACTGGATAAGGGTGGACAAATATGATCTCCCGATTACATTTTGTTATTTCATTCTTGCCATCAATAACTCAGCAAATACGTTTACTAAGCCTCTTCCCTTGCGTTATGTAAGGCACCGTACTGTGGAGAATGTACAAATGAGCCATCGCTGTCTGAATTTAAAATGGACAGACTGTCCTGCTCAGTAAAGACACACACAACCGAAATGGAGGCGTTCCACAGGAGCACTACCAAGTCCTGTGGCGGAAGCAGAGCTTTCTGGGTTGGAATCCTGGTCTCCACTTAAAGCTGTATACTCTGGAAGAGGTTAATTGCCTTCAGTTTCCTCGTCTATAAAATGGGAATAATAGTACCTTTTCACAAAGTCCTTGAGAGGATTAAATGAGGTAATAGACAAAAGCAGTTTAAAATAATGCCAGGTACATAGTCAAGGCCTGGTAAATGTTAGTTATGATTGCTATTACTGGAGTTTAAAGGATTAAGTGATTGATTTGACTCCAGAAAAGGAAGAAATAGTTCATCAAGAGGTAGCGTTAGAACTGGGCATTGAGAGATGGAAGTAGGATAGGAGAAAGGGGGAGGAAGGAGAAAGGAGGAGAGAAATCCTTGTTGTACAGGAAGCAGTTCCGCTGGGCTGGAGTGGAAAGTTCCTTAACAGAAATTGGTGTGAAATGCAATCCAGAGTACTGTTGTAGAAGCTTAATATAAATCACTCATTTTTTTCTATTAATTCCCCTTCATTCCCAAGTCATGTCCTAGAAGTTAACACCATAGTTAAAAAACAGATCAAATCTTCTTAATATAGATATGTGGTCTGCATTACATATATATAATCCTCTATGGGTAGGATTATATCCGATATGGGTAAATCAAAAACCTTACATATTTTTCCTGACCCTTTACGGAAGCAATCTGTCAAGTCTGAAAAAGCACAAAGAATTCTTAAGTCTAAGAATCAGAAAACAAGTTCCAAGCCAGGTTAAAGTCATTTAACCCTCTGGGCCTCAATTTCCTTTTATCATCCTCACCAGAGGACATTTTTCCATTTTTGTTTTTAGGTAGAGTGGGAGGGAGAGAGAGGAAGAGAGAGAGAGAAACATCGATGTGAAAGGGACACATCGAGTGGTCGCCACCCGCACAACCATCCAGGGCCGGGGACAAACTGCAACCGAGGTATGTGCCCTTAGCGGGAACTGAACCCGGGTCTCTCCGGACCACAGGCCGATGCTCTAACCGCTGAGCCAAACCGGCCAGGGCTCAATTTCCTTTTAATAAAAAATATGTAATACTACTGTTACTTCAAGAAGAATGGATATAAGAAATATTAAAATGGTGGAGTCCGGTCAGTGTGGCTCAGTGGTTGAGTGTCGACTCATGCACCAAGAGGTCACCAGTTCGATTCCAGGCAGGACACATGCCCAGGTTGTGGGCCCGAGCCCCAGTGGGGGGCATGCAGGAGGCAGCTGATCAATGTTCTCTCTCATCGATGTTTCTATCTCTCTCTCCCTCTCACTTCCTCTCTCACTAAAATCAATAAAGAAAAAAATAAAATAAAATGGTGGAAAGGCTACTCTAGAAAGGAAAAATCTTGCCAACCTCATTGGGTTGATACAAGACACAAATGCAACAATGGTTGGGATAAATATTGTATAAGATACAAGGTTTTCATGGGAGGGGAGGGGGGAGAAAAAAAAAAAAAAAAGATACAAGATTTTTTTCCCTACATACCACATAGAAAAAGGCAGGAACTCCGGACAAGAAGGTGGTGGTAGATATAAAAATATATAAGCTTTGGTGTCAGGCCCAGTTAGATCTAAATTCTGCCTGGTTCCATCACTTACTAGCTCTGTGACCTGAAAGCAAAACAGCATGTTTCTTTCATGCTGTTGCTGAAATCATCCAACAGGCCAGGCCCTTAGAAGCATGTGCAGGATCTACTGACATACATTTTAGAAACTCTTGTCGGTTTCATCTTAACCCTTAGGTCCCTTCTGGGAGCATTCTGATTTTTTTTTTTTACTTTTTTTTTTTTTTTTGAAAAGTGCCCTCTCCCTTTAAAAATGAGCCTGAGCCTAAAAAGTAATTAATTATAATTTGACTTCCTCCTTTGCCCCACCCCAATGGTCTTACATCCCTAAACAGAGTCTCTGGGACTTGTTTGTATGCCATGCTCTCTGTAAGTGCTCAACAAATGGTTCTTAAGTTAATAATAACATTGAGTTCACAATCTAACTGGCAAATATCAGAAACATCCAAATACTGCTAGCCAAATCTAGGCCCAAGAAAAGTTAAATTTTATTATATTTTTTTCAGGGCATGTTTAACAACACTAGTATTTTTAATTTGTTAAGCAAGTCACAACTTTTTACATTTATCTGCATGTGATATATCATTTGGTCCTCACTGCACCCTTGTGGAATTGGTTTGGCAGGTAGTTAGGATTTTCTATTTTTCACCTGGGGAAGCAGACCAGCAGTTCTCCCAGTGTTGTTGCAGAGCCAAGTAGAACCTAAGTCTTCCTCTTCGAATCCACAGCTTTTCATTCTAGCCCCAAACTAAAGCAACTTAATTTTTTTTTTCAAACAATATGGATGTAAATAAGAATGTCTGCCAAGAAATCATCTATAATAAACATAAACATCAGTCAGCAAGATCTGTTTAAAATGTAGGCTCCATTAATTATTTTCTTAAGTGGATGTATATATGGAGGACATGAGATATTTCCACTGTATTCTTGTTATCCAACCTCAAATCGCTTTAGTTCCCCACAGGACCTATATTCAAATATGATTATAAAGGGAGTTCACTATTTGGAGAGCAAAGACATACAGCAATGTCACAGAATGTGCAATGTAGCATTTATCTAACTACTTAAAAAAGTTGTAGCTAGAAGGGAACCCCCTCTGCTTCCAAAACCCTCCGCACTCAGCCCAAGGGGTGCTTCTGATTACCAGTTGTCCAAAGCCCACATTATTTACTCTTCATATTTGGTACACAGGTCAAAGACTCGTTGCTAATAAAATCTATTGGCTTTCATGATCCCTAGGTGGTGATGATAAGGATTATCACCTTGCTGATGCCTTAGTTGGTGTTTCATGAAAAAGTCAATAAAGCAAAGAGGAAGTTGTTACCTCTTAACTAGTAAGTTCTTTTTGATCAATGCTACCGGTAGGTTCTGGTTCACTGGCACAACCTTGAGAAACAGACGACTGCAAGTGTCCAAAGGGCATTTGGGGCTTGCCCCACCTGACCACAAGCCCTGGTGCCAGGCAGGACCGGGATGGGGGTGCTCAGTCCCCAGTATGTGTAAAGTAACCCACTGTTCGTGTAAAGGATCCCACAGCTTGGCGCGGATGGCGTGGCGAACAGGCAACAGGCCCCCGGCTCCTAATGACCTTGACAGCCCCTCCGCCACCTGGGGGAGGCCCGGGGTGGACACGGGACGGGGGTAGCGGCGTGACAGCCTCTAGGCCGCCCAGGGGAGGCTCGGGGCGGACGCGGCGCGGGGGTCTCCCCGCTCCCCGGGCGCCTCCAGCGCGAGGCCGCGGCGCACCGAGGGCGGTGCCCGGCGGGGACGTGGGGACTCCCGGGGACAGCAGTTAGGGGTGCTTCCCCGGCGAGGCGGGGACAGGGGGCGCGTCCTACCTCCTCGGTGGCCGTGGGGCCGTAGGCGATGAGCACGAGCGTGGTGAGCAGGGTGATGACGAGGCCCAGGAGGGTGATGGAGTTGGGGGCGACCCACAGCGGGACCCACCGGAGCAGCCAGGTCCAGTAGAGCTGCAGCGGCGGCTCGAGCACCGAGACGCCCGCGGCGCTGTAGCGGTGCTCCTCCAGCCGCCGCAGCTGCGCGGCGCTCAGCGGCTCCCCCAGCGCCCTCTGCCAGCGCGGCGCCGGCCTGGCCCCGGCGCCCGCCGCCATGGCCGCCTGCGGGCCCCGCCGCTGCGAGCGCGCGAGCGAGCGCAGCCCCGCCGGGCGCCGGGGCGGGCGGAGCTGGGGGAGGGGCGCGCCCGCGCTGCCGGCGGCGAGGCAGCCGCTGGGCCGAGGTGGAGGTCAGGCCGGCCGCCCAGTCCCGGCCCCCGCCCCCACCCCGCCCCGCGGGCCGGCCGCGGGCTGTGGGCGGGGCCTGGCGGGGACACCGGAGGGGTGGGCAGCGCCAGGCCAGGTGTCGGGGAGGGTTGGACGGGCTCCAACAGGCCACCCCCTGCGACAGAAACTTTACCGTGGGTGCGCCGAGGGCCCTGACTTCCCCAAGGGCTCGATGCACATGTTTCTAAGATCCGGTTCTTCCGGGAGCTGGTCCCGTTCCCCCAGGGGAGTCAGCTGCCCGGACAGCGGACAGCGAGGAAGCTGCTTCCTAACGTGTGGCCTGTGCACAGCCCGGTGCCCCAGCTGTGTTGGCTCTGGCCTTTGGGCGGCCACACTGCGGGACCGCGCTCCTGCGGAGCCTGGGCTCTGGAAGTGGGCTGGGGCGGCGAGAACGTGATTTTGCTCGTCTTGGGTCACCGGTATGGTGGCTCCATCTGTCTGCCTGAAGAGAGGTGCCATTTGATAAACACGCAAGCACAAATCTTCCTTCCAACCCCCAGGACTGGGGCCCCTGCCATGTATTCATGCTGAAGAAACCTTTCTGGGGGTTCAGGGGAGTCCAAGGTGTTGGAACTGAAAAAATCAGGACTTGGAAACACTAACAAAGGGACTGAATGCTTGAAACCCAAGTGCCCATTTTTCAGAGCATGGGATGTGATACTGTTGACGGTGAAGTCTGACCAGACCTGGGTTCATCAACCTCGGTGCTTGAGTTCTGGCTAAGAAAGAATTCAGAGCCAAGACTCAAATGGTAAACTTTCTAACTGGAAAGTTTATTTAGAAAGTCACAGAGATAGAAGAAGTGAGCTGTAGAAGAAATGGGCTCAGGAAACAAGTTACAGAGGCAGAAAAAGGGGCCCCTGGAGCTTAGGAGAGAGAAGAGTAAAGGTAACACTCCTGGAGGAAGAGGAAGAGGAAAGCATGCTGGGTGCCCTGTCCTAGGGCTTTTAAGGGCAGGGATTTAGGGGATGTCCCAGGGAAGGATCTCAATATAATACTCATCAGCTCTCCCTGTGTGTCCTTTCAGGATCATGGTCTCTACTGATTGGTCAGCACCAGGGCAGGGGTTTAATAATCAATGCAGCTGGTCCTGACATCCACCATGGCATCGCTTGTCTGGATTTGCTGCTTTTCTGGGCCTGGAGCTGAAACACAACTGAGGCCTAGATGTATTTGATTCAGGTCACACCCTATTGTCCTGAGGGTTTAATGCTTAAAGGTCAGTTTCCAACCCCCTTGACAGTTCCCCCTCTAAAGGGGTCTAACCCGAATGACTAGCCACGTGCCAGGGAGGAAAGGTTGATGGGGTTCCAAACCACATGACCAGTGATATGAAAGGTCTAAAAGTGCATGACCAGCCATATGCTGGAGGAGGAAAGGTTACCGTGGCAACGAGGTCCTTGTTTTTCCGGTGGTTAGGTGCCTGGAGGTTTCCACCCTGGTGACACTCCATACCTCGCCTGTTGTCCTGCTCTGCTCATGACTGTCTACTGCCTACCGTGACACCAATCACAATGGATACTTTTGCATACACACTTCCGTAGGACTAGAGGACAGGGATCCAGACAGTGTCCTCCCAGCTGCACGTGGGACGCATCACACTTGCCACCCATGGTAGTTCACAGCCCTTACCTCACAATGCACCCACTTAGACAGGGGAAGTCCTGTCATAGACATGTTGTACTGAGATAAGCCTGCCACTTAACTGCTTTTTGCTTCATGGTTCTGATTTGTGTGTCCTTTTCTAGGGCACAGAACAAGCTCAAGACCGTTGTGTTGGGCAGAGTCTATCAGCAGATGCACTTTGTCCTGTAGGATTCATCACAACACCTTGGGGATGAGTCAGCCCACCGCCTATGTTCACACAGCCCAAGAGCTAAGTCTGGTTTATACATTTTTATTTTTTAACAGCTTTATTAAGCTTCATATAATTAATATACAGAGAATTGCATGTGGACAGTTTGATGAGTTTGAACATATGCAAATATCCATGATAACATCACCACAGTCAAGGTAACAGACGCATCCAAAACCTCTCAAACTTTCTGTGCTTTCCTTGTTTTGTGTGTTTTGTGGTTGTTGTTATAAGAACACAACATGAGATCTACCTTTTTGATACATTTTGAAGTGCACAACGCCATATTGTTAACTCTAAGTACTATGTGTCTGGTTTTTACATTTTTAAATGGTTGAGGAAAAAAATTAAAAGGAGAATTTTTTGTGATGCAAAATTATATGAAATTCATATTTCAGTTCCATGAATAAAGCCACAACTATGCCTTACATATTGTTTATGACTGCTTTTGTATTCCAAGGGTAAAGTTTAATGGTGTGGCAGACACCATATGGCCTGCAGGGCCTAGAGTATTTATTGTCTGGCATTTACTGAAAATAGTTTGGCAAATCCTGCCTTAGGGCTTTATGAAGGTGTCTACAATCATTAAAATGCAGGAAACAAGTCACAATGACAGAGACCCATTTTGAACTATGCTGGTTTTATGGATAGTAAACTTGGACATACCTGCTTTTTAATTTATCAGTACCATAAGTAATCCAAAGAAAAATCCTTTCTGTGTTAATAAATTTAACTATGTTACAGTTTTTGTTTGTTTCTTTTTGCTTTATATTCCACATATTAGTGAAAGCATATGGTTTTTGTTCTTTTCCTTCTGATTTATTTTACTTAGCATAATACCCAAGGTCTCTCCATGTTGTTTCAAATGGCAGCATTTCATCTTTTTTTTATGGCTGAATAGTATTCCACTGTATATATACACCACATCTTCTTCTCTTTTTCTTTTGGTACATGCCCTTAGCAGGAACTGAACCCAGGACTCTCTGGTCCGCAGGCCAACGCTCCAACCGCTGAGCCAAACCGGCCAAGGCTACACCACATCTTCTCTATCCATTATCTGTTGAAGGAGGCTTAGGTTGTTTCCATATCTTGGTTATGGTGTAAAATGCTGCAATGAACATAGGGGTGAAGATATCTTTTTGAATTAGTGTTTTCATATTCTTTGGATAAATACCCAGAAAAGGAATTTCTGGGGCAATTCTGTTTTTTGAGGACCCTCCATACTATTTTCCATAGTGACTGCACCAGTTTACAGTCCCATAAATGGTGTATGAGGGTTCCCTTTTCTTTACATCCTTTGCAAACTCAAACTAAAAAGCTTCTGCACAGCAAAGGAAACCATCAACAAAAGAAAAAGGCAACCAACCAAAAGGGAGAAGACATTTGCAAATGATATATCCAATAAAGAGGTTAATATCCAAAATTTATAAAGAGCTCATGCAACTGAACAACAACAACAAAAAAAACCAAGCAACCTGGTTTTAAAAATGGGCAGAGGATCCGAATCGACATTTTTCCAAGGAAGACATAGAGATGACTAATAGGCACATGAAGAGATGAGATGTTCAACATCACTAATTATTAGGGAAATGCAAATCAAAACCACAATAAGATATCACCTCACACCTATCAGAATGGCTATCATCAGAAAGACAGGAAGTAACAAGTGTTGGCCAGGATGTAAGAGGGATGTTCTTATCAGAATGCCTTTCCTTTGAGATAGCTGAGAGAGAATGGCCCCATATCAATAATCAATATCCACACAAGAAACAAAAGGGAAGCCCTAAGAAGCCTGAAACACCAATCAGAAAGAATATACGTACCCCATGTTTGTAGCAGCCCTGGCCGGTTTGGTTCAGCGGTTAGAGCATCCGCCTGCGGTCTGGAGTGACCCGGGTTCGGTTCCCGCTAAGGGCATGTACCTCGGTTGCAGTTTGTCCCCGGCCCTGGTTGGTCGTGCGGGTGGCAGCCACTCGATGTGTCCCTTCACATCGATGTTTCCCTCTCTCTCTCTTCCTCTCTCTCCCTCCCACTCTATCTGTACAAAAAAGTGGAAAAATGTCCTCGGGTGAGGATAAAAAAAAAAAAAAAAAAAAAAAAAAAAAAAAAGAAAGAATATACGTACCCCATGTTTGTAGCAGCACTATTTACAATAGCTAAGATCTGGAAATAACCCGAATGTCCATCAGTAGATGAATGGATAAAAAAGGTGTGGTACATGTACACATTGGAGTACTATGCAGCTGTAAGAAAGAAAGGTCTCTTATCCTTCGAGACAACATGGAGGGACCTGGAAAGTAATATCCTAAGCAAAACAAGCCAAACAGAGAAAGACAAGTATCACATGATCTCACTTATTTGTGGAATAGAATGAACATAACAGTCTGAGGAATGGGGTAGTCCCAGAGACGTGGAAGTGGGGTACAGACTGACAATTCCCAGAAGAGGGGGCGGGGGGGAGAGATAAACCACAGAACTTATATGCATGTATGCATGATCAATGGACATGGACAACAAAGCTGGGGACAGGGCAGGGAAGGAGGGGGAGGGGGGAATCAGTGGGGGAAAAAGGAGAAACATCTGTAACAAAAATAAATAAATTAATTAATTAATAAAAAAGAAACAAGAGGGAAGGAAGTCTGGAACTGTAACTCTCCAACATGAACAAGCACGCGGATCACCTGGAGATGCTGTTATATCGTGCAGGGTCTGAGTTAGTGGATCTGGAGAGTGAGAGCGGAGCTGAGAGTTTCATTCCTAACGAGCTCCCATATGCTGCTGCTGGTCATCAGGTCACATTTTGAGTGTCATGGAACTGAAACATACAGTGTTACACAGCTTGGGTGGAGGTACCACTCTGAGCAAGCCCCTTGAGCCCCAGGTGGAAAAGAAAGGGGCAGAAAAAAGAGAGAAAGAACTCTGGGCAATTAAGGGATGAGAAAGACCAACTTGACTCAATTTTGCTTAAGGCTGTTCTTTCCAGTACATAGAAGAATAGATAGGTGATGATAGATAGATCGATAGATAGATCGATGATAGATAGATAGATAGATAGATAGATAATAGATAGATAGATAGATAGATAGATAGATAGATAGATAGATAATAGATAGATAGATAGATGATAGATAGATGTTTAAGATGTATTTTATTTTTATACTTTATTTTATATTATATTTTTA